ATCTTTCCCGTGTCAATGTCTCTATAAGTTGGAATGTAAAATGTTGCGCCTAATTTTACTCAATTATATTACCCTTACACTCCGTGACTGTGATAACGAATGCTATGTTCCACTTATTAATGTTGCTTGCTAGTGTTTGTGAACAATGTTGTGACAAATTTGTGACGGTTTACTTATGTTGTAATTATTTGCTGAAGGAATGCTGTCTCCTAGAATTACACCACTACCTGCTGTCTCGTATGCGTATATTTTGTCTATTGCGTATTGCCATCATAGGCAGCAGCAATCGTCATCATATGTGTTATCAAATTTATCATTACCATCTTCTTCTTCTTCATCATCATCATCATCATCATCATCACCACTACCACCATACTCATCACCATCATCATCATCATCATCATCATCATAATCATCATTATCATCACCACCATCATCATCATCATCATCATCATCAGCAGCAGCAGCATGGTCGTTGCACTATTACTGGCACACATAATATTGAATGTAATTGTCAAGTCACTGCTAATGTAGAAGATATAACACGAATAATATTTGCATGACGTTCTGTCCAAATTGTTTTCGTTGCTAGGTTATTCCCTTGTAACAACATTCATTACAAACAGTGCGTTATACATATTTACTTTAATAGGTATGTCAAATATGGCTAAATAAAACTCCAGTTCAGGCAGTATGTGCGTATGCAGTCAGTCACACAGTGGCTAAGTTACTCCACATCATGCCAATGTTTACCGCTCTACGCTTTCCTTCTATAATACACGGCGTCTATTACAGGGCCTACATATGTCTACTACACTAAATTTCAATCAAACAGGTAAACCAGGTAAAGCCGTGTGCCGGACCCCTATAATCGATGGGACGGAATTCACAGTCGTACCTTGCGCCTACTTCTCACACTAGAATTACACTCTACACTCGTAGCTATTCTTAAGTGTTTTCATAAGCTTAGCCAAGTCTTTTCTTACAAGATGTTAAGTACAAAACAGTGGTCGTCGTGGCTGATGTGTCTATCACATAAAACACCAGCTGAACAGTAGCGATGAAAAGATGTCACATATGAGTATACATACAAACGTAACGAAAAATAATGCAGTCGGCGAAAACCTTCCCACAGTCAAGATGGCCGCTCGCGAGCGGGACGTTCAAATTGATATGCAAAGTACGTATGAAAGAAATAACAGATATTACATGTAAAGGGAGGACAGCAATGTATGATACTATCCAATGTAGCAATCGGCTATTTCATGCAAAAGACGTGGTTTTTCTTAACAGTATATTGTCTGTGCATTACAACCTGAATTCCTACAAGAAGCAACGCATGGCATTTTTAAACTGTAGACAGTCCACGATAGAAGTTATTAACCTCGCTCTATCTTTAAAGGTAGTGCTTGATAATAGCTTGTACTGTTTACTGAAGAAATGTCAAATAATTATGCGGCAGCGGGAACGTTTCTCGTCGCGTTTCTAATTCATCCTGAAGTTCAAACAAAGAGCCGAGCGACATCTAGCGGCGGTGGGAAACCGAAAGTTATTTGCAGCGCGTAAAAGCTAGTACACAGCCTTGCAGCAGAGCAGTTTACAGTTAAATTGTGGCCTCTCCTCTCCTAGCAAAACCCAGATTGGCGTTGTCGGCCATATTTTGAACATGCACACGTGCACACACACGCGCATACACACACACGTACTCACACACACACGCACACGCGCATACACACACACACACACACGCGCGCACGTACGCACGCACGCGCGCATACACACACACACGCACGCACGTACTCACACGCGAACACACAAGCACGCACGCGCACACCACACACACACACACAACACGCGCGCGCAGCAGCACACACACACAGCCACGCACGCACGCCAGCGCACCAGCACGCACAGCACGCACCACGCAGCAAGCACGCACGCCAAGCGGCACGCGCGCGTGAACAGCAGCATAAAATAAGTGCACATACCGTATTAAGCACGGAATTCGCGCCGCTGCCGCGATATTATTGCGCTTATGCAATTTATAATAATCATCAAGAGGCTTAACTCGCGCACTTCAATTTCGCCGTTAATTCATTTCATCAGTCCGCTGACTCCCCGACCGAGCCACGCGCCTCGCACCGCATCAGCTGCTGCGGAAACATAACTAACTCGCTACGGAACAGCCATCGCCAATGTCACCGCCAGTGTCGCCGCAGCCATCGCCAACAGCAGCGCCAGTGTTGCCGCAGCCATCCCCAACATCACCGCCAGTGTCGCCGCAACCATCGCCAACACCACCGCCAGTGTCGCCACAGCCATCGCCAACACCACCGCCAGTGTCGCCGCAACCATCGCCAACACCACCGCCAGTGTCGCCGCAGCCATCTTACGCTTCATTCCCCTCTAACGCCGATCTCATTAAGCTAGTTCATTGTGAGCATTATCGCTCCTTTAGCAGGCGGCCAGCAACACTTTCCCGCTCTCACCGCGCTTACACGTCATCAGCTTCGTTAGCCGAAGCGACGGCGGCGTTGCTAATTGATAAAACGCAGACGTGAAAAGCCGCCGCCGAGCCGATGGGCGTCAGGATTCGATCGTTAACGGCCGCGGCTCAGGGAGGTGGGGGGCGTGATCCGATCACAGTACAGGGTAGTAATGCAGGAAAAGATAAAAGATGAAAAAGTTCTGCTAAAGTTCGTGCGACGTGCTTCCCTCGCCTAGTGCTACGCCTCAACTGATAGACGCCGGGTAGTTAGCAATGCCGGCCATGAGAAAGATGACAAAGTTCTACTACCGCTCGTCCGTTGTGCTGCATCAAGGTGCGTTCGCACGAAGCCCTTAACAGATGGATGAAAAATTTCGGGATTTGTTCGAGGAAAAAAAATGGTCGCGCTTCGCCTAATCTTCCCCGCTATCACTGGTTCTTTCTGCTGAACGTTGCTTGCTTATGCTACGGCGGGGAGGGGAGGTTTACAGCATCCGATACTGCGCACGTTTTAATGTTTGCGATGTTCGGTGTTTGCCGGCATTACGCGACATGCATTTCTAAAATCCAATTAGCATTCTCTCATTAAAAAAATTAGCACACGCTAATCACACAGGCACGAGTGTGTGTATTTGGCCCTACAATGCGCAGCCAAGCTTGAATATAAACTTATAAAAGTGCTAAAACTTGGAGAAGGCCTACTAGAAGCACTACATCAACAATTTTGTAGTATTTGGTAGGAAGATTATCATCAACATCTCGTCTTACAAATATCATGTGTAACAGTTATATTAGACCTATATAATATTACAACGCAAATTAATGAGTAAACTAAAGTCCGCCTTCAAGAGCTCATGAAAAGTCGATCACATAAGCAGGCAGCTTTATGTGTCACAAGTATGAATACATGTGTTTCTGATCGAAATCTTCCAGCAGATGGCACCACAATAGTCTGTCTTGCGATTCTGAGCTATTGCGAGTATTAAAGATGTGATCGCGACTCGAATGTACTTTTACTACGTTTTAACTGTTTGTTAACGTAAATGGATGAGATTTCCAGTAAACCGTGCTTTCGTAAACACAGAGCGCCGATAACACAATAGTCCTTTCAGCGTCGAATCAACGCGGTATACGATTCCATCGAAACTATGCAGTGTACCACGCGGCCAACAACTTGCAATGCTGACCATTTTCTCAATATTGTCTCCATTGCGAATGGTGCGCACCGACCCACATAGGCACCACGTTAACTTACAAAACACATCTAGGAAACGCACTGTTCAGTACCCTACAACTGGCTAAGCCGCCAGCAATATCAACAACCGGCAACAAGCCATCCTGCATAGAACGTCGTATCGAGATCAGGCCACTATAAACTAGACTCAAGTCGACCTGGCCTAACGACTGGAAGACACTGCCAGGCGGCAGTGTTGCACGTAGAAATATAACTCCACGGGTAATGCAACCTCGTGTGATCCACTGTGTCGGCAGGTTTATTTGGCATACGTCCGCTGCCCTGGCCCATGAGGGGATACACGAATAACAGTGCCACGGGAACACGTTGTTAACGCTACCAAGGGCACCATTTACGTTGCCCTGCACACATCTCTAGCGTTGTCGATGGAACGTTTCTAACGTTAACGTGGTGGACACATCCAAACGTTTCCATGGAGACACCACCACCAACGATGCCACGAACATGATATCACTGACATTGCCACAATTAACGCTGTCATTGACACATCACTAACGTTGCCATGGACACATCGCTAACGTTGCCATGGACGCACCACTAACGTTGCCATGGACACAACACTAAGGCTGTCTTACCGCTAGAGACACCATCGACGCCCCGTGAGACACGGAGTCCAGCTCACCCCCAACTACACGCAGTCGACGACTCGAACACATGCAGTTGTCACATCACCTTGACAATTCGCGACAGTTGACCCAACGAACAACAGTGTCCGTCGCACGTACGTCATCCCGTCGCCTTGACGATTCGCGGCAGTCGAACCCACGAACAACATCGCCACGTCGTCGCCGTCCTTGCCTTGCGCATCCCGAGTCGTCCGTGTACTGTGCGTGCGTGTGTCACACGACAGGGAAATAGCCCCTGTGGTGCCTCGCGTACCACTCCACTAACAGCTTTCTTACCTGCTTCTCCGTCATAGTGGTTGGCTTCGGTCGAGGCGGCCGGCTCGTGGGACCCGCCTCTCTCGCCACCTCAATATCCTCCAACATCTGAGCTAGCCGCTGCGAGTCGAGCTTTCCCTGAAAGTGAAAGAAACGCCGCGATGTCGTTAACATGCTCTTCGTCATCCGCAGTGTCGTATATACCACAGATTTTTTCGTTATGATTTGGTTACGATTTGGTTTACGTTTTGGTTTACGATTTGATTACGATTTCGTTACGATTTGATTATGATTTGATTACGATTTGATTATGATTTGATTACGATTTGATTACGATTTCGTTACGATTTGATTATGATTTGATTACGATTTGATTATGATTTGATTATGATTTGATTCACTCGTTTTGGTTAAAATAACTGCATACACCAACGAACGACTAGACATTACGACTGCTTAAATTGTCGTTTTGGTATGTATGTTTTAAGTAATGGTATTTATGCGTTCAGGTTAAATGCGCATGTTGTATTCCTGAGGCCATGCCATAAACATAAACATTAAACGACCCATTGACAAAAGGTCGTAATATTAACCATGGCTGCAACTATTTACATATGCTGTAACTGGACTAATCATATATCACATAGCTACGATGTTTCTGATAATGGCAAGGGGGAATTTTAGGAGGGATAACTCATTTCCTGTGTCCCAGATGAAAATTTTTTCCCTCCAGTTCCGTGTCAAATGAAATCGCAATTCAGGGCATTCCACACGACAGCTGACTTCTATTCCCAAATCACCAAAAGTTTATCCGGTATTCCTCAGTTCCCAGATAATTAATAAGATCCAATCCCGCATCGTGAATATCAACCACTCCCCCCAACCCCACTCTTACCGGGCCCACCCCTCATGCTAACCTGCTTGCTTGTCGTGCTCCCCTTTTTCTCATCCTCTGTATCGTATACCATGCAGAGCCGTAGGCTAAGAAAATTCCTAAGGGAGGCAGTGACGGATCCGGGATTTCAAGGAGGGGGTGAGAAACATATGTGGGGGGTCTGGGAGTCTCCGCTGAAATTTAAAGATGTAGATGCGTAGGAGATTGAGCGTTGAGGACTTTTGGTAAATGTACGCCTTGTTCTTGACTACGACTTCTCTTTTAGTAGAACATTTTTTTTTTGTTTGTTTGTTCCAAAATCTAGGGGGAGGGTAGCTGCCCCCTTGCCCCCCCCCCCCCGCAGGCTTACAGCCCTGTCACGGCTTAGCTATTTGGTTTGATTTGATTCACTGTGTTGGTTACAAATATCTGACAGTGGGTAAGCTACGACCCCCGGGTGTTGAGTTAATATCTGCACTTTTACTCACTTACGAGCGTCGCGTGTTGGTTTCAATGATCTGAATTTGGATCACTTACGACGCGTAGTTGGTTCATTGTGACACTGACTACACCTACGAACGTCGTGTTGGTTACAATATCTGACACTGACTACACCTACAAGGGACTCTCGCCTCACTGCTCCGTGTTGTCTCAAAAGGAAGTGGCTTGGCGACGCCGATACGCACGACGCCCTTTGGCGCCCCCCTTGAGGGCTTGCACGGCTTCGTCTAGACTGGCGTTCTCGAGGTTTGCGTCGTTGACGTAGAGTAACCGGTCGCCGGGCACGAGGGCCCCGGGCCATTCCTGCTGGAGCGGATCCACAGCATCGAGGGGAGTGTATCATATCCGTTTCTCGGGTTCAATGGGTCCTGCGGGCAGGAGTAAGTACCGACACCGTAATCAGACTCATGAGGATGACCGACTCACCATCTCAACAGATCAAAAAGTCTCGCTCATATTCCGCGACATTAGCGTACCAGACTGGGTTACAGATAGCATGCAGTTAGCGTACCAGATACTGACGATGAAAACTATATGTATAGTGGTTTATGTTGAGTAAAAGCAATTGCCAACAGAGTGTGGAACCTGTAGCCAACTGCAAGGCGAGTCAGTGCAATGCTTCGTGGCTACCTAACTACACCTGCTCATATATTATATTAGCATTTGCTGCTTACCTAGTACAATAGTACCTATAGAGTTGCTTACCTTGAAGGATAGCGATTAGACAATGACTTATCTGTAGTGAAGGATAGAGATCGGGACAATGACTCACCTGGTAGCCAAGGATGCTGAACCTTACCTGGTAGTCGAGGATGCTGAACCTTACCTGGTATTCGAGGATGCTGAAGCTTACATGGTAGTCAAGGATGCTGAATCTTACCTGGTAGTCGAGGATGCTGAACCTTACCTGGTAGTCGAGGATGCTGAACCTTACCTGGTAGTCGATGGATGCTGAACTTACCTGGTAGTAGGGATGCTAAAGTTACCTGGTGTCGAGGGATGCTGGTAACCTTATGGTAGTCGGGTGCTGAACTTACCTGGTAGTCGAGGATGCTGAACCTTACTTGGTAGTCGTGGATGCTGGACCTTACCTGGTAGTCGAGGATGCTGAACTTTACCTGGTAGTCGAGGATGCTGAACCTTACTTGGTAGTCGAGGATGCTAAACTTTACCTGGTAGTCGAGGATGCTGAAGCCTAGTCCTCACTCTCCCTTTATCAGACAATGACTTGCCTGGTAGTCGAGGATAGTGATTAGCTTTCTTGGTAGTCGAGGATGCTGAAGCTTACCTGGTAGTCGAGGATGCTGAAGCCTAGTCCTCGCTCTCCCTTGATCAGCTCGATGAACTCCGGCTCCAGACTCCACATCGCGATGCCGTGGATCGTCTCCAACGATCGCGACTTCGTCTTCGAAAACAAGGCCTCTTCTGGTTTCGGGTGGGCCAGCGAGCCGTCCGACTTGGCTTTCACTAACCTGAAGCGATGACGGATCGTCAGCGCGTGCCGCAGCACAACACGAAACACGTAAATTCCCGAATCGAAGACAAATGCGCAGGAATTTGAACGTAATTGATGAGACAAGGTGGCCGGGAATTGTCGAACCGCAAATTCCCGCGTTGCATGTGAATGCACGAGAACGCAAACGTTCGTGTTGAAGGTCGAACGTCATTGATGAAGGTCAGAGTGCCGTGTCGCGGGGGGAAGGTCATTGAGAGGGCACGCGTAGAGGCGAGAGATTCGTTCAAAACACGCAGGCTCGGAAAAATTATAACGACTACGTGCGAGAAAACTCGAACCACGGCGACGTGCTTCAGCGCATGCTAATATTCTCATGGGAGAGAAACATTTTCAAGGCAAACGGTCAGTGACGATTGGACACGTAAGATTTGCTAACACCCGCATATTAAATTCTGATGTGTGAACCAACGTGCAATGAGAACACGATTTTCATTTCTCCGGGTTTCCAAGGACACTCAATAGCAGGCAAATGCGACCTTCAGTCAACGTTATCATGCTTCTCACCCAACCCTCGCAACACGTCAGCCCGACTAGAAAAAAAAAACAAGCGAACATCGCACCTTTCGGCCACCGACACATCTTGAAGACTGCTGCTCTGCACCTTGTTCAGTCCGCCACCAGGCGGCGCTGCCGGCGAGACGGAAGGCGACTGCGCAGCGGCGGGCGACGCGCGGGTGGTGCCGATGAGGATGCTGGTGTCGGGGTGTGCGTCGCGGCTACGCGCGCACACCATGCGAACGTTCATCGGTAGTTCCTTCAGCACCGACACGACCTCGACGTGGTTCTTACCCAGCAACTGTCGACTGTTCACCTGAGAGAGAAACGCAGCGTCGTTAGAAACCGTACGCAGGAGGCTGACAGCATGCGATGCTGCAAGCAGTGCAATGCAACACAATGCAATGAAATGTTGCAAGCAATGCAATGAAATGTTGCAAGCAATGCAATGAAATGTTGCAAGCAATTATTAATGCAATGAAATGTCACAAGCAATGCAATGCAATGCAATGTTGCAAGCAATGCAATGCAATGCAATGCTGCAAGCAATGCAATGCAATGCAATGCAATGCAATGCAATGCAAGCAGCAAGCAGCAAATGCACTGATGATTCAAGCCCCTGCGTGCAGAGAAATGTTCGTGTTACACTGCATGTACTATATATTACAGTCAAAGTGTACATGTAAAGGTCACTCAAGGAAACCCCCCAAAAGTGTCCGTTACAGACAGCAGTCTATTCCATCGATATGGCTATACTGTACAGAGTGAGTAACTGCAACCCAAGGGACATGCCAATTTGCCAAGTACATGGTTGATAGGCAGGTGGCTATTCTATAAAAATGTCCACTAACACAGCTGTAATTGCTTACAGAACAATACATCAATTACATACTGGACTTCTGCTGTCCCAGGCTGATCCCAGCAGAAACCTGTTACAAATTAGTCTCAAGGCGGGAAAAAAATTCTACAAAACCTCGATAGCAAGTGAACTGTAATCCGGCTTTTCGACTCATCGACCGTGCGAGTGGGAACTAGAGCAAACCAATTAAGCCCTGCACCCAGCGAGTTCTCTTAAATGATCGGACTACGTTAGCGTTACTCTAGACAGTTGCTGGTACTCGAGCAATAACAGTAATTATCCTAGAAGTGGGGAGAACACGAGAGAGAGAGAGAGAGAGAGAGAGAGAGAGAACGCGCGCGCATCCTATACAGGCTGCATTCGATTAAAGCAGTGGTTCTTAACCTGGGGTTCGGCGGAGGTCCTCCGAAACGCATTAAAATTTTGCTAGAATTTGCTAGAATTTTTATTTTTTGTTTATTCTTTGCACGCTTTCCAAATATAGTCTTGAATGTTGATGCAATATGTTTTATTTTTGGATTAATTAAAATTGATTAAAATTGTTTTGTTTTTGTCAAATTTGACAGGTTCGGCGAGTGAGCAGTGGGTTACGTTAGGGTTCGGCGCCTCTAAAAAGGTTAAGAACCACTGGTCTAAAGTGTGCGGCAATGCTTATTTCTGCCGTCGGTTCTAACCGCACACGCCCACACACGTACGCACACACCCCATTCAAGCACACGCGCAGGCACGCACACGTGCGTGCACACGCGTAGTCGCACTAGCATGTAACATTCATAAACTACTAACAAACATTATGCCGCTTCAACGATGCCAGCTCTCATCGCCCATCAATATTTCATATCTGCGGGACCCAGAGAGCCAGTACCTTAACTCTGCAAAAGGAACTAGACTGCAGCCTACCTATTGGATGGCGTTCCATATCGTAGAATGCCCCCCACCCCACCCCATCCCATCATAAACACAGCGAGGGTGTTTATTTTGTGATGTATATATTGCCATCGCTGTAAGGCATATTCAGGACTTTCATCTTATTCGATTAATATCGTTTAAATGGTACGCACGCACATACCCACACACGCACGCACACACGCACGCACGCACGCACGCACGCACGCACGCACGCATGATTACAACAAGCCACCAGTAGCTAAGCCATACGCGGTTCAAGCTCGTGTAACATCTCAATTATAACCGCAGCGATGGTGTTTATGTCGTTATATATTTTATGTCGAAACGGGGACTAAAGAAACAACGGTTCCACTTCATATAATTATATATATATATATATTATATGATCGTCTGCTAGCAGTATATGTACCTCTAGCAGTTCGTCTCCACTCCTCAGCTTGCCGTTGGCTCCGACAGGGCCGTCAGGCAGGATTGACCTGATGTAGTGATGCGGTCGCATCTCCTTGCCATCCTCAACGTCCACAGTCCCCTCCAGGCTGATGCCCAGACCGCCCCCCTCACGGAACTTTGAAAGCTGCGCCACCTATAGGCAGATATCGCAGTTAAAATCACGATTGGGTAAGGTGAATTGCGTTGTGATCATGCTTATGGTGATATCAAATGCATGCATGTTAAATAATCATTATAAGTGCATCGATCTCGCCGAGTTCCTAGGTTGATTGCATTCAACTACCTTGCTAAATAGAGAGACACAGACACGCCTATAACGCCAACCACTGACAGAGATACTTACACAATCATCATTGCATTCCACCCACATCATTACCACCACCACCACCATCCACTGCCAACCCTCCAGTCTGCCATTGCCACCACCCAAACACCACTCTTATTACCTCTACTAGTACTTATACCAGCACCATTCCTAGCAGCACCACAAATACTGGTACCACACACTTAGTACCAGTACTATTAACAATACCACTACTACTACTACTACCACTACTAACACTACCATTATCACTAGCGGTTGCAACTTTAGCTATCCACACATACCACAATTTCGTAGTCTCTGCCGAGCACCTTGTCCCACTTGGCACGTAGAACATTCATGGCATCTTCATCCAACTCTACCCCTACAAAATATACAATAACATCAATGAAAAAATGATAAATGAAACATTTAGCTACCATGCACGATAACGGTTAGCTTATGCTCTACACCCGTACGCAATTATTGCAGTGATTACAATTAAACTACCTGTACTTACTTCGACTTTACTAGCGGATTTAACCAGATTAATACACAGACAATAAATTCGGCTCCAACCACCATTCACGTTTATTGACAAGAGACCGTGCAATCTGCTACTGCGGCTCATAGGGTCTATGTCCCCCAGGGTACTGCCAGAACGTACCCTGGGTATGGTCCGGTATACCGGAACGTACCCTGGTAACTATTTGATATGGTTAGGGTTAGGGTTAGGGTTACGGTTAGGGTTAAGGTTAGGGAGTAGGCGTAGGCGACTCCCTAGACTCGTTAGTGGAGTAGGCGAGGTATGGTCCGGCATATTAGATAGTACCAGGGTACGTTCCGGTATACCGGACCGTACCCAGGATACGTTCCGGCAGTACCCTGGGGGACATATAGACCCTCTCAGCGCTACTGCGCATACGTTTCTGTTTCGTATTCGTGTTATGGTTACGTTTTAGCAGATCTCAGGGTTATACACTACACTACCCATTATTAAAACCCCATGGAATAGAAAATATGTAGATATTTACAGCGCAATCAAAAGACCCTGTTAAGTTTATCGGTACTTTTGCAATATAGAATACATTAAGGATCGTTCTAGTTTTACGAGATTGATTACTTTATTATAGGTTCTGTAATTACTATTGATTATTCATGTGAACTAATCGGTGTAAACCTATATGAGTTGGATATATAACTGACCATAGTCTGTCGTGTCGTATTCACTGCTCTCTTGAATGTGGATATCTTCAAGGTCAACAATGCGATGAGAGGGCGAGGGCGTGTCCACATAGTGGGTCTGGATCTGCGTCGCCATGTCTTCCGATTTTACTCCTTCTTCTCCATTAGCTGAAACACGCGCAGATTTGAAACACGCAGATTTAAACTTTTCCGACATTTCTCAGAGTTTTCTGTCAGCGCAAATACGACCGAAGTTAATCTCTTCTGATCCCATTTCATCTTCTCGTTCAGTATGAATGCACGCAAATCTAACTTCTGATCTTAAGATCTTACTGTCTTCTCCATCAAATAAAACAGACACAAGTATGATCCACGTAGCGAAACGCAATAAGGGAAAAATATAATGGATTTTTTGCATTACCTGATGTTACCTTTGTATATATACGTATTAACTACACCAATGAATTACTTTCTTTTTATTACTCGAGTGCAATTTGATTTCTCAAAGGAACTATTCTATGATACATAAGGAAGCTATACGAAATGCTAAAATACTAAACTACTAACTGCCAAATACACACCGTTACTCACTACCTACCGATGGTACATTGTCAAATTATTTATATATCTATATTTTCATTTACATTCCGACACATATATAATACAAACTGCATTATTACTTATATGTAAAATACATCACGTTTAAGACCGTTCAGTAGCTGTAACGACCATCACAGACAGATCACCCTACTTATTATAGCTTGTGCGAATGCTTTAAATAGGCATTAAACAGAACTCATCCACTCATTCATGGCAAGCCTCAATCCCACCCATCTAAATGCGGCCGATCCCACCCATCTAAATGCAGCCGATCCTCAACCACTCCCACTGCCTCCCTCTCTATACACTGACGACATGTCTGAGTACCCTCCCGCCACTATCCCTTCCTCTCTGTATGCATTAGCCATATTCCACCAGCAACCATCAATACTCTAGAGGACGTGCAATGAAGCTTAATTAACATGGCCATCAATCATCTGCACTCTATCGGTTCTCATCGATACTTGGACGTAGATTCCAGACAATTCTATCGCGTACCTCTGCGCGTGGAGGACATTTGCACGACCGCTGTGTATGGTCGGCCATACACATTGGTAAAAATAATTTACCCGCGGTTAATGTGTAACAAGGCCTTTGATTGGGTAAATGACCAAATAATTTTGCCACAATTAAATTATTTCTACTGCTGTAAAAATAATTTATCCGTAGTTAAATTATGTGTAACAAGCGCCATAATTTAACCGCATTATTTCTGAGTATGATGGCCAACCATCCCCGTTGTCGTCTGCTACTCACCGGGTAGGCCTACATGTTGTAGTAGCATATGTTATATATACATGTCGTATTCTGCACATGGAGGACATTTCCAACATGGCCGCCGTGCTCAGCTTACCGAGTACATGTTGTAGCTGCTCGTACTTCTCTCCACGCAGGTACCTGGCGAGCGTCAGCGTGACCACCTGCCCGGTGTTCCGCAACACCTCTACCGCCTGATGGTTGTTGAAGCCTCTCAGACTCTCATCGTCCACCTGCAAATAAAGGACCGCAGCACGTTAACGATCAGATATAGAGATATAAAGATTAATTCGAGATTATAGTAGGCCTATATCTATATGTAATCTTAGGTCACGCGCTTCACCGACGTTCCCGTGTGTGACAACAAGGCACATCTCAAGTCACAAGTCAATCAAGTGACTATATATAACTGACTATATAATAACTGACAATACTGACTATATAATAACTAATGACTGCTCTATATAAAATAGATATAGATATCTATATTATGACGCTACTGCTATAATGTTATGATGTCATTTCGTCATGCGAAATATAGAGAATGTAAAGGGTGGACACACTAGGCGATTTTTCAGGCGACTGAGTCGCCGGCGAATGAGTCGCGCGACTGAGAGTGGACACACTAGGCGAATATCAGCGCGATTCATCGGCGATTTTTCTCCCGCTGCAACACTAAAACACTCGCGTCACCTAGATTGATAGTCACATGATTGAAAATGGCACCGTTTGATTGGCTCATGAATTGTACAATCGGGCGACTCATTCGCCGACCCGGACACACTAGGCGACTGAAGTGCGATTGATTAAAAAGTCGCGCGGTAATATCAAAACGTTCTGATCGATGCGATCGAATCGGGCGACTAAATCGGTGCTGCAAATCGGCGGCGACTGACTGACTGGACACATTAGGCAATTTTCACCGGCGATTGAGTCGCCCGACTGAGCCGCCGGTAAAAATCGCCTAGTGTGTCCGGCCCTTAAATGGTACTTGCAGCAAGCAGCCAATCCAGCCTTGAATGAAATATTCAAGACAACATACTAGTTACAGCTAACATGCGCAGACAACAAAGTATTATCCATTCCTTTCATGTTAGCAGTTTTACTGGTACGAAGAAGCTTTTAGGGAATAATCTGATAATATATAAGCCGATGATGACATGGCATACAAATATTTATGAAGTGACGGATAAACAAATATTCGTCTGTGCTTTGATGCTGAAAACATGGATCAACCTGACGTAAGCATATTAAATATTTAAGAAATTGACTCAGTTTTCTTGGTTGTTTATAATCATGTGCATAATCTGTAAGCACGAAATATTTTATAATTATTTAATATAATATAAATATAATATAATTATATAAGACCTTTTCAATGTTAAATGTAGTAGTGCTCATTATAATTTACAATGAACTTGGTATTTTGAAGTATAGAACGTGAGTATTTTTGTGTAAAAATACTGTAATTATGAACGCATTAAGGTTTCAAATGAATTTTTACATATATTGTATATGCTGATATGCTGACAGCTCATTATAAATACGTTATAATTATTCCCACAGTGAGTCACCAAATTTGCAATTAACTTCTGAATTTTAAACACGTCAATACATCTAAACGCATATGTTAAATATTGCACAGAATGTTAGTACATGCACGCACGCACGCACGCACGCAGGCGCGCACACACGCACGCACGCACGCACGCAGGCGCGCACACACGCGCACGCGGTTTTTATCGGTGATGCTATACATGTGGCCGTGTGTGCGCGCGTGCGTGCGTGTGTGCGTGCGTGCGTGCGTGCGTGAGTATGTGTCTATATGCTACTTCAAGTGTTTTTCCAACCGGCTTCTCATTAATTTTGTTAGCAATCTCGCTGCCATGTTCTACTAAACAGCAGCAACCATAACAGTACATCTAAGATATATATATATATATATATATATATATATATATATATATATAT